CACACTACCAAATGGCCATGTCGGAAACTGGTGGGTTCTAGTCCTCTGTACAAATGGGGGACTACAGATGGTCAGAGGGTCATGGTATGGTCAGTCACTGCCACAGTCCACACGCAGTGCAGGAGCTTAATGGTGTCAGTCATCTGCTTGGGATGTTCATCATCAGGGAATCTGTCCCCGTAGAGTCTGGGTAGTGAAGAGCAGTCAGGCCTGAAGGGCCAGAGCAGCAGTTAGGGGACTCGTGTGTTGTCAGTCAGGAAGCTGCAAAGACACTAGTCAGGGTATGGTCAGATGTGCCTAGGAGGGGTTTGCTGAGATTTAGAGCAATTACAGTCGTAGGGCCTGTCCATTGATTATGCAGGGCGTTTGGTTTGGGGTGGGCATCCTTTAGGGGCAGAGGGTGGTGGTGATGTCAAACTGTGGAGGCTGGGAAAAGCAGAGGAATTTGAAGAAGTGGGGGCAAAGACAGTGACGGGGTAAATCAAGATGAATGGAGAGAATGTGGAAGAGCATCTGCAGGCACGGTGGGCTATGACAGAGGGAGCTGTTGACCATGAGAACCAGCATGGCCTCCAAAGGGGAACCATAAAGGAGCACGTCATCAAGATGTAATTTTGGGTTTCGGGGCTGTGCAGACGGTTAGATAAAGTTCAATCTGGTGGATGTCCACACTGGGTGTGGGGTTGAATGGTCGAAATAGGCTGTTGGCATAGTGTGACGTAAGGGGAACATGGAGTCTCTGGGGGAATACGTGGCGACAGGTAAGAGCCTGGTGCTGTTAATCTATGGGTCATAATGCTGAAATCTAGTTGGTATTGTTGGGGTAAAGTTCAGTTTCTATTGGCTTCATTTTTGTTCCTTTTCACTTTGTGTAAATAAAATCTCACATTTGTGTTTGCATTTACTGATTGTATGTGATGCTGTCCTACTGCATTATTTGGTTCTACAGTGGGCATTGGGGATAGGGTAGTACTGACTTGAGAGGGTGTTCTGATGTCATGTAGCTAAGGACAAGCTAAAGACACATGGTGGCTAAACAGTGCCTAAGATGAGACAATGGGATTGTCTGTGTAAGAGAGTGTCCGTGTATGCCATGGGCAGCGTGGCTTTGTGGCTGCTGTGCCATGAGGTTGCTGGTGAGGGGCAACGAAGATTTGCCAACACTTGTGTCGGTGCACTGTGGCCTTGCAAAGATGGTGGATTCGCATGGGATATGCCATTTATTGGGGTGAGTGGGCAGTTGTTGTGGGGGTGACATGTAGTACAATGGGGCAGGAAATCAGGTGCAAGACACAACTTAATACTAAGATGGGTAATTCGTGAGGCAAATTTGATAGGTAGAATGAATAATTCTGCTAGGCCCTCTGGTGAGAAACTTTCCAAAAAATTCAATGTAACTTGTACTTATCCAAAAAAGATTTCTTCACTTTTCTTGGTCATTTTCTGTCCTCACTCTGTTATGTTAATCTTAACAAATAGCCTCAATTAAGGAGAGATGTCAGAATTAATTCAGCAATATCTAAGTAGATATCATATTGGGGTTTACTTTTTACTGAGAGTTGAAAGGCTATGTCATAACCTCTTTCTAACCCCATTCCTTCTGATGCTCAGCATTTAATTTTGTGCCTGTAAAATATCTTAGAAGATTTAATATGTTAATGATGCCATATAAATGCAAATTCTTGTTAAACATTTATTTATTAATATTCAAAGAACCCTATTTCCAAGCTCATGCATTTTAGTGTACCATAGTGCATCATTCTGATTTGTGAAATCGCCATTTTAACTCTGCAACTCGCCCCTCTGCTTGAGGTTATCAACATAATACCAACTATTATCAAGTCCCTGGTCATTTTGTGCTGTGCTGGAGTAAAGGTGAGACTGCCCAAAGTTACTTTGTTAGAGACAATGGGGTTTTATTCTGACCCAGACTGAAATGAAGAGTCTAGAGGTTGCCCAGGCAACACCAGTACCATTGTGATAACATCATTTGGGACAAGCAGTCAAACAGTACAGAACTGGTTGTTCTATTTCCAGTACTGATTGAATCAGCAAGACTTCCTGTCAGTGATATTTCTGTCAGTGTCCTTCTAACCCTTTCCCCACCTCCCCGCCCACCCCCCAACCCCCAACCAACCACTCCAACATTTTGACTTTTCCTCTTCCGTTCCATTATCAATGGCAGGGGTTTCCGTTGACTCGGCCCCACATTCTGGTGTGCAGCACAGAAACAGACCATTCAACCTAACTTGGTTATGTTAGTGTTTATGCTCAACAGGACCCTCCTTCCACTTCTCTGCGTCTAACCGAATCAACATATTGATATTGGAAGGTGGTGGCGTTCTGCTAATATCACTGGCCTAGCAATCCAGAACCCCAGGTCAATGTTCTGGAGACTTGGGTTTGAATCCCACCATGGCAGATGATGAAATTTGAATTGAATTAAATCTGGAATTAAAAGCCAATCGAGTGTCAAGTGCCACTGCCATTTGCCCTTAATCCCCATTTGGTTCAGTCATATCCTTTTAGAACATAGAACAGTACAGCACAGTGCAGGCCCTTTGGCCTATGATGTTGTGCCGACCTATTATCCCATTCTAAGATCAAACTACTCTGCATACCATACATTTTACTATCATCCATGTGCCTATCCAAGAGTCGCTTCGATGTTCCTAATGTATCTCACTCCACTACAACTGCCGGCAGTGTATTCCACGCACCCACCACTCTCTGTGTAAAGGACCTACCTCTGACATCTCCCCTATACCTTCCTCCAATCACCTTAAAATTATGACCCTCATAATAGTCATTTAAGGAAGGAAATCTGGCTGGTCTGGCCTACATGTGACTTCATATCCATGGCAATGTGGTTGACTCTGGTCAATTAGGAATGGGCAATAAATCCTGCCCCATCTATTGCAGAAATTGGTGGTTTACATGAAAAGTGGCTTTACAACAGGTAGGTTTATCAACTTGGCTTTAAGCCAGATTTACAATGGTGTTTATAAAGTTTTGATTTTGCCACGTATAAAAATGAATTCACTCTTCCTATGCAGGGCAGAAAGCCATACTCCAAGGTGGCATGGATTAATGTTTCTCTTCTCTGACCTGTACTTCTTTAAGTGCACCATAATCAGAGAACTTATTCTGTGTTACACAGAGGTGGAACTTTTAGCTATTGGTACGGAATTTGCTGGACTGGGATAATCTCACAGCTAGTGTCATTATTTAGCCTTTTGCCCTTCCTCACACCTCGTTTGAGTAAATTCTTACACTGTAAGTTGCTAGCAGCAGGAGCTGTAACAGTGAGACAAGGGTAACAGGCTATCTGGAATCTTGATGAACAATAAGAAAATTGGAAGTTAGAGATTTAGAAGGAAACAAAGGTACGATGAAGAAGGACTTGGGATGGATTAGATTCTAATCAGCCTCAAAGAGAAATAAAGAAAGGGAAAGAAGTATTAGATCAAGAGAGAGGGAGAAAATGATACAGAAATAAAAGATAACAATAAAGAAAAATTTAACTTGCAAGAACCTCCAAGAGCAAGTTACTCCCTTCAAGAATGAGACAACTCAGTTCCAGTTGTTCTCTTTCAGGCATACTGCTGGTGTCTTCCACCATGAAGATTGATGTAAAGTACCTATTTAGTTCCTCTGCCATTTTTTTGTTCCCCATTACCACTTCTCCAGCCTCATTTTCTAGCAGCCCAATGTCCACTCTTGCACCTCTCTTACCTTTTTGATATCTAAAAAAATGCTTTTAATCCTCTTTTACATTATTAGTTAGCTTAACCTCATATTTCATCTTCTTACCCCTTGTTGCTTTTTAATTGCCCTCTGCTGGCTTTTAAATCTTTCCAATCCTCTGATTTCCCACTAATATTCACCACACATTGTATGCTTTTTATTGTGCTTTTATGCTGATCCTGTCATGGGTCTTCCCATGTCCATGACTTCCCATGTCAGCCACAGTAGCCTCGTCCTCCCCTTAGTATGTTTCTTCTTCCTTGGGATGAATTTCTGCTATGCCTACCGAATTACTCCCAGAATCCCCCGCCGTTGCTGCTTCACTGTCTTCCCTGCTAGGCTCCCCTTCCAATCAAATCTGCCTAGCTCCTCCTCGTGTCTTTGAAGTTGCCTTTACTCAATTGTAATGCTGCTACATCTGAGGTTTCTATTAGTAGGAGACACAAGGACCCAAGGGCAGAGCCTCATAGTGAAGGGATGACCCTTCAGAACTGAGACGAGGAATCTCTTCAGTCAGAGGGTGGTGAACCTTTAGAACTCATTGCTGCAGATGGCTATGTATTTGAGTGTATTTCAGACAGATGTAGGTAGGTTCTTGATTGATAAGGGGATCAAGGGTTAAGGGGAGAATTCAGAAGAATGGGTCTGAGAAACATACCAGTTCTGATCAAATGGTGGAGCAGACTCGATTGGCCAAAAGGACTAATTCTGCCTCTATATCTTATGGTCAACACTAGCACAAGCCAAATGCAAAAGCTTAGTCAACGAAATTGGTTTTAAGGAACATCTTAAAGGAGAGGAGAGAGAGTTGGACAGGTTTAGGGAGAGAATTCTAAAGGTAAGTGACTAATTAGGGGAAGTGGTCACATAGTGGTGATGTCATTGGAAGTAGTAATCCAGAAACCGAAACTGAGAGACTGGAGTAGGTAGTGTGTTGTTGTTGGAATGTCCAAGTCATCATTGAACGAGCCCTTGTCCTGCTAAGTAACAGCTCTAACTTTCTGTGACCAATTGACCAGGTTGTGAATGTGAGGATGCAACAATTTCCTGAAATTACCAGAGAGTTTAACAGTCAGCTGCCATTTTTGCTAACAGTGGTGCTATGCAAGCTGTCCTGAAGCTTGAGGCCATCTGCAACTCGCTGCCCATTTGTTCATCACCACAAGATCGTTTAGACACTGATAATTTGACAGCGAATGATTCACTACTTTTGGCAGCTTTCATTCCTTTCACTGTTTCTTCTCTTCCTACAGACTGCAGCCCAGGGAGCTTCCACTGTGATATACGCAGCAGTTTCTCCAGACTTGGAAGGAGTGGGAGGTTCCTACCTTGCTAATGGCCAGAAGACAAAATCAGCGGACATTTCGTATGATGCAGACCTTCAAAAAAAACTTTGGACCCAAACCTGCAAGCTTGTTGGGATTCCGGAGTGGCACCAGTCCAATGTTTGAAGGAAGGAGGAGGCTGTGACACAAAGGCTGAGTGTGCGAGCTATGTGGTTCTGTCACTTCCTCTCGTTAGGCTGGCACCAGGAATAACAAGCCTACTCATGGGAAACTGCAAGCTTAAAACCGAAGCAAAAATCACAATGAATTCAATTACTCATGGTGTTTGTGTTCATCAGGAAACCGAAAACTTATTTTGGATGTTCGGTTTAATTCAGTATATTGACAAAATTTCCAAGTTGATAATATATGATTATACGAAACATGTCAAACTGTTCAGATTTAGAGAGAGAGAAAGATATATACATATATGCACTTTGGTACTGCGGTGTTCCAGTACTTAATTACTACCTGTAGAGGCCACTGGTGGTCTATATAATTATTTTGCTTACGCTAAAGAGATACCTTTTGTTAGACACCATCAGTTGAGATAAAAAGTCCTACCAGAATAATGACCCATCCTTCTGTCTGAGCTGCTCATCAGTCTGCTTCCTATCTTTTCAAGATGTAGGTTTCCAGATTTGCACATTTCCATTACCATCTGGCTACTTCATCAGTTTCTGATGGCTGAAGCCAGTACTGCAATAATTATTTTTAAAAACCTATCTGATTCATCAATGGCCTATAAGAAAGGAAACCGCCACCCTTACCTGGTCTGGCCTACATGTGACTCCAGACCCACAGCAATGTGATTGACTCTTAACTGCCTCTAGACAATAAGTGCTGCCTTAGCCAGTGATACCCAAAGCCCCTGAACATTTTTTTAAAATTGCACTAGCCCTACAGACACTGTTGTTAAGAGAATAGATAGTCTGCAGTGAGTAAACTCCCCTTCCCCAAAGCCTTTCCAAAATCTGTAAGGCACAAGCCAGGAGTGCATGAGAACACTCCACACTTGCCTGGGGTCTAACTTGAACAACACTTAAGAAGCTTAATGATGTCCTGAACAAACTTCCCCATTTCACAGGTACCCCATCCACACTACCTTAATTTCCTCCACCAATGGTGCACTTTGCTGTTCACGTGCGCCATTGACGAGATACACTGCAGGAACCCATCAAGGTAACTTCGATCACATTACTCAAACCTGCAATCCCTACTATTAGGAACGACGAAGGCAGCAGTCTCAAGGAAATGGTGTTAAATTTCCCCTGTAGTATACACTCTATCCTGACTTCTTCATTGTTTGGCCAAACTCCTGGACTCATTTCCTAACAGCACAGTAGGTGTACCCATCACCACATGGATTGCATTAAGAGATAGTAAGAACTGCCGATGCTGGAGTCAGAGATAACACAGTGTGGAGCTGGAGGAACACAGCAGGCCAGGCAGCATCAGAGGAGCAGGAA